CTCTTACTTGAGTACAGTAGAGTAGTACTCTACCAGTACAGTACTACTTACTTACTTGAGTACAGTAGAGTAGTACTACAGTGTCAGTACTCTTACTTGAGTACAGTATAGAGTAGTAGTACAGTCAGTACTCTTACTTTACAGTAGAGAGTACTACAGTAGTACTGTCAGTATACAGTAGTACTACAGTGTCAGTAACTACTAGTACTACAGTGTCAGTTACAGTAGAGTAGTACTACAGTACTTGTCAGTACTCTTACTTGAGTACAGTAGAGTAGTACTACAGTGTCAGTACTCTTACTTGAGTACAGTAGAGTAGTACTACAGTGTCAGTACTCTTACTTGAGTACAGTAGAGTAGTACTACAGTGTCAGTACTCTTACTTGAGTACAGTAGAGTAGTACTACAGTGTCAGTACTCTTACTTGAGTACAGTAGAGTAGTACTACAGTGTCAGTACTCTTACTTGGTTACAGTAGAGTAGTACTACAGTGTCAGTACTTAACTTGTACAGTAGAGTAGTACTACAGTGTCAGTACTCTTACTTGGTTACAGTAGAGTAGTACTACAGTGTCAGTACTCTTACTTGAGTTACAGTAGAGTAGTACTACAGTGTCAGTACTCTTACTGAGTACAGTAGAGTAGTACTACAGTGTCAGTATCTTACTTGAGTACAGTAGAGTAGTAGAGTAGTACTACAGTGTTCAGTACTCTTACTTGGTTACAGTAGAGTAGTACTACAGTGTCAGTACTCTTACTTGAGTTACAGTAGAGTAGTACTACAGTGTCAGTACTCTTACTTGAGTTACAGTAGAGTAGTACACGTGTCAGTACTCTACTTGAGTACAGTAGAGTAGTACTACAGTGTCAGTACTCTTACTTGGTTACAGTAGAGTAGTACTACAGTGTCAGTACTCTTACTTGAGTACAGTAGANGAGAGAGAGAGAGAGAGGAGGGAGAGGAAGAGGACAAGAGGACGGAGAGACAGAGAAAGGGAGTGAGGGAAAGAGGAGGGTGAAGGAAGAGAGGAGGAGGGAGTGGAGAGATGGAGGGAGGAAGTAGAGGAGAGAAGGGCGAGAGAAAGAGAGATCAGGAGGAGGAAGAAGGGGAAGAGGAGAAGAGAGGAGGAGGAGAGGAGGAAGGAGAGGAGAGGAGAGGAGGAAGAGAGGAGAGAAGGAGAGAGGAGGAGGAGAGGAGGAGGAGAGAAGAGGAGGAGGAGAGGAAGAGAGGAAGGGAAGAGGAGGAGGAGGAAGAAGAAGGAGAGGAGAGGAGGGAGAGAGAGAGGAAGAGCAAGGACGAAGAGCAAGGAGGGAGAGAAGGAGGGAGAGGAAGAGCAGGGAGTGAGAGGTGGAGGAGGAGAAGGGGGAGGAGAGAGAGAAGGAATGGAAAGGAGGAGGAAGAAGAGGAGGATGGAGGGATGAAGAGGAGGAGGAGGGAGAGAGAGGGGGAAGAGAAAGAGAGGAGGGAGAAAGGAAGGGAAACTGAGCTGAAGAGAGAGGAAGGAGGGAGAGGAGGAAGGGATTGGGGAGAGGAAGAGGAGAGGGAAGAACAGAGAGGCTCTCTGGGAGAGAGAGAGAGAGAGAGAGAGGAGGGAGAGGAAGAGGACAAGAGGATGGAGAGACAGAGAAAGGGAGTGAGGGAGAAGAGGAGGATGAGAGGAAGAGGAGGAGGGTGAGAAAGAAGTGGAGAGGAGGGAGAGAGAGGATAGACGGAGAGGAAGAGAAAGCGAGGAGGAGGGTGGGAGGGAGATCGAGAGAGGGATGGAGAAGAGGAGGGAGGGAGAGGAGGGAGAGATGGAGAAAGGGAAGGAGAAAGGGAGAAGAAGAGAAAGAGAGGAAGAGGAGTAGGGGATTGGGGAGAGGAAAAGGAAGGAGAGAGGAGGGAGAAGAGGAACAGCAAAGAGGAAGAGGAGGGGGTAGAGAAAAGGAGAGAGGAAGAGGAGAGGAGGACAGAGAGACAGAGAAAGGGAGTGAGGGAGAAGAGGAGGGTGAGAGGAAGAGGAGGAGGAGGGAGTGGAGAGATGGAGGGAGAGGAAGGAGAGGAGAGAAGGGCGAGAGAAAGAAGTGGAGAGGAAGGGGAGAGAGGATGGAAGGAGAGGAGGAGGAAAGGAGAGGAGGAGGGAGAGAGAAGAAGAAAGAGAGAGGGAGAGGAAGAGGAGAAGGGAAGGGAAGGAAAGGAGGAGAGAGGGAGAGCGGAGAGGGAGAGAAGGAGGGAGAGAGGAGAGAGAGGAGGAGAAAGAGAGGAGGGAGCGAGGGAGAGGGGAGGAAGAAGACGAGTGAGGCCGAGGGAGGATGGAGAGGAGGAGAGAGAGAGAGAGAGGGAGCGTGGGAGAGAGGGAACGAGAGAGAGAGAGGAGAGCGAAAGGGAGGGAGGGAGGGAGGGGGAGAGAGGAGAGAAGGAGAAAGAGGATGGACAGAGAGGAGGAGAGAGAGCGGAAGAGGGCGGGAGAGGAGGAAGAGGAGAACGAGGGAGAGAGGGAGAAGAAGAGAAGGAAAGAGAGAGGGAGAGGAAGAGTGTTATGGTGTCACAAACATCAGCACAAAGAGAAGAAGAGAAACAGCCTTGACTTGAAGAGCAGAGTTGTGGAGCTCTGTGTTTGGCTCAAGAACGTCTCCGTCTCGATTTTTCTGACGGCGGAAGTGGAAAAAAAAAAAAAAAAAAAAAAAAAAATCTGTCCGTTTTAAGAGGCGAAAGACAAAATTTCAGACGGAAATTTGAAAAGAACGAGAAAAACAAGAAATCGTTTTCCATCTCCACAAAGTCCCATTTCATCTTTTCATTTTCAGTCGTTTAAAAGGAAAACAAAAAAGAGGAGCGTCGGTGTAAAAAAAAATAAAAAATAAAAAAAGCACCTCCAAAAACACAGAATAAAGCTGCACTGTGGAACTTTTCCCTCTGAGGCTTTGCTACACTTTAATCTGAGTTTTGTTTCAGTGAAAATCTGAGCAGAAGGAGCTGATCTGTGCCGCTCAGTTTCAACACGTTTTTATCCGTGTTGGATCATGTGAGCGTCGTGTCACCGTGGTAACTGCTGAATATTTCACCATTCACACACATGCAGAGCCTCCCCACACTACAGTGAAAGTATCAGTACTCTTACTTGGATAAAGTAGAGTAATACTACAGTAAAGGTATCAGTACTTTTACTTTAATACAGTACTGCAATACTACAGTAAAAGTATGTGTACAGTACTTACTCAGGAGTACAGTAGAGTAGTACTACAGTGAAAGTACTCTTACTTGCTACAGTATAGTACAGTATAGTAAAAAATACTCTTACTTGAGTACAGTAGAGTAGTTACTACAGTGAAAAGTACTCTACTTAATACAGTAGAGTAGTAGTACAATAAAATACTTACTTGCAGTACAGTAGAGTAGTACTACAGTGAAAATACTCTTACTTGAGTACAGTAGAGTAGTACTACAGTGAAAATACTCTTACTTGCATACACTAGATGCTCTCAGTATTATTCAGTTTTATGTGGTCTGCATTTTTGTTTTGCTTTGTTCTATAAAAGTATCAAAATTTTCAAACACATACAAAACAAAGTTTGAAACAAAAAAAAAATACTCTTACTTGGTTACAGTAGAGTAGTACTACAGTGTCAGTACTCTTACTTGAGTACAGTAGAGTAGTACTACAGTGTCAGTACTCTTACTTGAGTACAGTAGAGTAGTAGTACTACAGTGTCAGTACTCTTACTTGAGTACAGTAGAGTAGTACTACAGTGTCAGTACTCTTACTTTGAGTACAGTAGTACTACAGTGTCAGTACTCTTACTTGGTTACAGTAGAGTAGTACTACAGTGTCAGTACTCTTACTTGAGTACAGTAGAGTAGTACTACAGTGTCAGTACTCTTACTTGAGTACAGTAGAGTAGTACTACAGTGTCAGTACTCTTACTTGAGTACAGTAGAGTAGTACTACAGTGTCAGTACTCTTACTTGGTTACAGTAGAGTAGTACTACAGTGTCAGTACTCTTACTTGAGTACAGTAGAGTAGTACTACAGTGTCAGTACTCTTACTTGGTTACAGTAGAGTAGTACTACAGTGTCAGTACTCTTACTTGGTTACAGTAGAGTAGTACTACAGTGTCAGTACTCTTACTTGAGTACAGTAGAGTAGTACTACAGTGTCAGTACTCTTACTTGGTTACAGTAGAGTAGTACTACAGTGTCAGTACTCTTACTTGGTTACAGTAGAGTAGTACTACAGTGTCAGTACTCTTACTTGAGTACAGTAGAGTAGTACTACAGTGTCAGTACTCTTACTTGAGTACAGTAGAGTAGTACTACAGTGTCAGTACTCTTACTTGAGTACAGTAGAGTAGTACTACTACAGTGTGTCAGTACTTCTTACTTGGTTACAGTAGAGTAGTACTACAGTGTCAGTACTCTTACTTGAGTACAGTAGAGTAGTACTACAGTGTCAGTACTCTTACTTGAGTACAGTAGAGTAGTACTACAGTGTCAGTACTCTTACTTGAGTTACAGTAGAGTAGTACTACAGTGTCAGTAGTACTCTCACTTGTAGTTACAGTAGAGTAGTACTACAGTGTCAGTACTCTTACTTGGTTACAGTAGAGTAGTACTACAGTGTCAGTACTCTTACTTGGTTACAGTAGAGTAGTACTACAGTGTCAGTACTCTTACTTGAGTACAGTAGAGTAGTACTACAGTGTCAGTACTCTTACTTGGTTACAGTAGAGTAGTACTACAGTGTCAGTACTCTTACTTGAGTACAGTAGTACTACAGTGTCAGTACTCTTACTTGAGTTACAGTAGAGTAGTACTACAGTGTCAGTACTCTTACTTGAGTACAGTAGTAGTACTACAGTGTCAGTACTCTTACTTGAGTACAGTAGAGTAGTACTACAGTGTCAGTACTCTTACGTGAGTACAGTAGTGTGTCTGGGTCCATGCTCATGCTGCAGTGGGGGTGTGGGTCCATGCACAGGAGGAGGAGGAGGAGGATGTAGAGTAAAAGTGTGACACATACACCTACCCTGTAGTAGTCAGTGCTGTACACGTCTCGGGACATCCCAAAGTCCCCGATCTTCACCAGCAGGTTCTCCCCGACCAGGCAGTTTCTGACGAGCACACAGCACATCATCAGCACAGGGATTTACGTTCATGTTTGAATAATCCTCTATTGTCCTGAAAACTCCTGTTTGCACCTACCACCTATCTCCACCCACTAATGTGTAGTTAGTTACAATTATTTTAAAATTTAGACATACATTAAAAAAAAAAAAAAATGCTACTTCCCACAGTAAAAAGCCTTTATCAAAAGTTGGAGCACATTTGAAAACATCAATGGTCCAGTTTGTATAGTTCAGTCATTTTAGATCAGTATTGCAGTTTACAATGTACAAAATGTAAAACCATACAAAACAATAATGTATGTCTGTTAAATATGTAAACAAACATAACATGTTTGTTTAACCTTGTACCACTGTGTTTGTACTAGTGTACTTGAACCATAACACCAGAGCCGTCCCGTGCTCGCTGGCGCCTCACCTGGTGGCCAGGTCGCGGTGCACAAAGTGCTGGGAGGCCAGGTACACCATCCCTGAGGCGATCTGCTGAGCGATGTGTAACATCTGAGACTGAGTGAGCTCCACAGGCCTGGTGGTCCCTCCCTCCGCCATGAGCACGGCGTCTGGACCATGGGACCTGGACACACAGAAGAGGCACCGTTAGGTTTTATTATCTTGGTATTTTGCAGATAAATCAACTAAAAGTGTCTGTGAGGCGCTTCAACTGACTTCTGACCATATTATGTTATTTTTTAATCTGTTATGAGGTTGTTTCCCCATTAAAAACAGACCTGGAGTTGTGGAGTTATGTTTAACACTAACACATAACTGAAATATCGTGATATCGTATCGTCAAAAGTCTCACAATAACATCGTGGACTGTCACAATATATCGAATCACAAGTTTCTCTGCTTAATTAAATGCAGGTTTTACAGTAGTAACAGCTTATAAACATCTGGAACTACATATCCCATGATTCATTTCAGCGCAGACAACATGAAGAAATATGTTTTTTACTTGAATTTTTGGGATTATGACGGAAATAATTAACATCAAAATCTTGTCAAGGTATTTTAAAAGCAGAAACGTGTCCCATCTACAATAATATCAGCTTCTCCAAAATATCGCAATAAATATCGTACCGTGAGATGTACATCATGATAATATCGCACTGAGAGATTTGGATATTGTTACATCTCTATTTAACACACAAACTCTGCATATTTACGCTAAGTTCTTGTCTAAAATAGAAAACACCTTGTGACGTCATGTGGTAATACAGGTGCTCCACTATGTTTTTAAACTCCATACACCTTCATTAGAATCATTTGGATAATTTAAGACCTGGAATTGCCGATCTCTACTAAACCAAAGTTAAAAGGAAACTGTTAAAGTGGACTGGAGCATTTTGAGCTGTACACAGAGTAATAATAAAGGATTAAAATGTGTAATTGACACAAAACACGACTCCAAGTCTAACATTTATTCATGATGTGTCAAAAATACAATAATCCCTTCTGTGAATGAGGGAGACTCTCCACAGATCTGACCTGTGATGTGGTGTAGTGCTGTAACCTGCTCGTCTCCCTTGTGACAGACACTGTAGGTTTAATCTACACTGTGGGACATTCCTTTAAGTATCAAAACGTGGATAGTGAGAGTACACGGTCTTGCCTGAGGAACTTGTTGAGGTCTCCGTGCTTCATGTACTCAAACACCATGATGAGGGGGTCGCTCTCCACGCACACGCCGTAGAACGTCACGATGTGCTCGTGCTGGAGGTTGGTCAGGAGCTCGGCCTCGCGGTGGAAGTCCTTTCGGGCGTTTTCGCTGGCCTCCTTCAGGGTCTGTAAGAAAACACACGACAACGTTACATTTAAAAGATTTTTCACATGTATTTGAGCAAAACTGATTTTACTCCAGCTGTTGAGGTCCTAATAGTCAGACTGGCCCCACCTCGTGCCTCCACTCAGTTTTATTTCTCTCTCTCTTAGGTCAGGAATCAGAATACAATAGACCAGGGGTGCTCAATACGTCGATCGCGATCTACCAGTCGATCGCCAAGGTCATGTGGGTAGATCGCCTTGTCTCGTCTCGACTCGCGTTTGGACTCGGTCTTTTCTCTCTCTCAAGGTCTGACACTCAACAAGTGTGATCATATTTCATTACGGCCGCTGCTGTTGGTAATAAACTTGTAGCGGGTGCAGGAGCGTGTGGGGCGTCTCAGTGCAGCCTGTGCGCTCATTTGAAACCCGCGGAGACTCTACGGCGCATCACAAACACACACGCTCCCTACGCACGGCTCGTCTGCGACAGCGTGTGCCCTCGTGTACCAGCGTGCATCACAGGGCAGGTTCAACTTCCTAAACATCCTACCTGTCCATCTGCCTCACGTCAGCACGCCGCCCCTCGCCTTTTCACGCTCTCGCTCCTTCCTGCGTACAGCGAACACAAGCCCCTCCCACAGTGCGGCTGATTAGAAGAGCAAGACCAAACGTGAAGCAAAAACCAGTCTAAATTTGTGTTACAGTGTTGGCACAAAGCAGGTCTACAGCATAGAGCGGATCTACAGAACAGACCTACTGCCACATTTGGCTGAAGTTTGTCTAACAAAAGTGCACAAATGCATCTGTGTTTGTCACGATGTGCGTTTGGTTTGGTAAACGTGCAGAGGCTGGTAAATATCACTGCAAAACCAGAAAAGAATGAAACTCCAGTTTGGAACTTTAAAAAACAGGTTTAAAAATCTTCCTTCACTTTTTTCACAGTTTTGTGTAAAGTGCCAGAGGAAGTTCTCTTAAAGAAGAGGTTCTCAAACTGTGGGTGAGGGTCCAAAACGGGGCACAGAGTGTTTCAGTGCAGTTTACTTGGTTTTGTATTAGGTAGATCTTTATGACTTGGTCATTTTGTAAGTAGCTTGCATGCTGAAAAAGTGTGAGCACCTCTGCACTAGACAGTTCGCAAAAACCCCGGAGGTGCAAGTTTGGGCACCAGGCAATCAGCGAAGAGCCAGACATTCTGTGTTGGCAATGATTCTTCTTACGGGTTTTAGGAAAAGCTTAATATACCAGTTATCCCCATTAGTGGCGAACTACATACGTCACGACCAAATAGCAGCGATTGGTTAAATGATTAAAAAAGTACCTGCCTATGGTCGAGCGAACGAATCCTAATGCTGCGAGGTCAGACGGTTTCCACGAAGTGAAACCGGCTGATGAATCAGACTAGGGGTCAAAATAAGTCAGCTGCATCTAATCATAAAGCATCGGGGAATCAGGAAGTGCATCAGTGTGCGAAATACCCGTCAATATTCAGGTTGGTCCCCATCTGCAAATTGTTGAGCAGAGTTGTGATCGCCTTTAATGCACAGATTTGATTGGCTCAGTAGCGTGACGATTGGTTTGTTTGTTCCTTGGTCCATTAATACATTGTTGTAAAGTTTAGACTCTAAACTGAATAGGCCCTTTTCAATTGATTCAACTTATAAAATGAACTGCATTGCGCCTCGTGTGAGAAATGCTACAGTCGGACCAGATCCAAACAACACTCCTGACCCAGCGGGAGCAGCTCTGGTTCAGGCCGGGCTCAGATGCGTTTGAGCGAGGAGAGGTGCACGGAGGAACTGGATTCACGTTGCTGTTTTATGAGTTCATGGCGATAACTTGAGATGAGGACGGCCCGCGGTTTTAACAGGGAACACAGAAACCTTTCGCAATACATGTGTCCTGAATTTTGGACTTCCGGTCACTGCGCAATGCAAACTGGGAAGGATCCTCCCAAAAACTGAGCATCAAACCACCATGTTTGTTTACCCAGTGGGATGCGTCTACTGACAAAGTCGATCTTTTCTAGTCTTTTGAACCATATCACTTTTGTTTCTGGTTCTGATATTGTCATATTTTAGTTTTGGGATTCGGACATCGTAATTGTGTGGTTGTTGGATCCTAACAGCGGAAAACGGCTCGAGAAACGGGCTTCGGAAGTTTGCGAACTCCATAAATGCAAAAGGGAATCAGACGTGTGTGACTGCAAACCTCCGTTCAAACTGTTTCCCTTCACAACAGAATTGAAAAATAGTGAAAGGCGAAGGAGATGGGCAGGACTGATCCACGGGAAGGACGAAAAAACAAACCTTTGACTATCTAAGAAATCATCCCAGCAAACATTTTGTACGTGGAGCACGAACAAAGCAAAATCCTGATCCCTCACTCAACCATAGTTAAGAATTTAAAAAGTCAACGCCAAAATGAAAGGCACCAGCTGTTCACCAAGAAACACCTTCCACTGCAAAGCGACCGAGACGTGATGTTGCTGTAAAACCACAAGAACAAGAAAGTGCAGCTCAGTCTGTTTGTCTTCTGCTCCTCTCTTGTTGTCGCTCCACATACAAAATCTTCGCTGCAAACTCGGGATGATTTCTTAGGCAGCCACAGGTTTCCTTTTTGGTCCTTCCTGTGGATCAACCCGCCCATCGCCTTCAAATTTTACTATTTTTCAATTCCGCTGGGAAGAGAAACAGTTTGAGCAGAGGTTTGCAGTCACACACATCTGATTCCCTTTTGCATTTATGGAGTTCGCAAACTTCCAAAGCCCATTTTCTGCAGTTAGGATCCAACACAAGTACGATGTCCGAATCCCAAAACTAAAACATGACAATATCAGAACCAGAAACAAAAGCGATGTGGTTCAAAAGACTTGAAAAGATCGACTTTGTCAATAGACGCATCCCACTGGGAAAACAAACATGGAGATTTGATGTTCACTTTTTTTTCGGAGGACCCTTCCCAGTATGCATTGCGCGATGGAAGTCCAAAATTCGGGATGCATGTATTGGAGGTACATCTGTTACCCCGCTGTTTTTTCATTGTTTGTTTGTTGTTTTTTTTAAAGAAATTATGAGCTCCCTAAAAATTTGGCTTTTGAGGTTTTTTAGGGGGTGTAATGTATTTCACACACCGATTAGCATGCTAGTTGTTGTGTTTGCTCCACTCTGGTCTCCAAAAGTGTTAAAAAGACGCTCATAAACTCATCGTGGTGAATAATTAGGACGTCTGAATGTATAAAGTAAATGAGGAACAACTTTGGACGACTGCAAACCGTTTAAAATCAACAATGTTCAGTTTTTTACGTTTTGAACGCAGTGAAAATCAGGAACAGCGCCTCTAATCTGAGCCAGAGAGAGAAATAGAGACAGAGGAGAAAGAAAAGAAAAGAAAAAAAAAAAAAAGTACGAAGGCCACAAAGTAAGCGTTGGCATGGTAACGTTTGGCACTGACCTCAAACAGTGAGTGTTCTTTTATACACCGGTAAACTGGACTTTCCAAACACACAGAGGCTTTCCAGGTCTCAAATGCAGTTTAAACACCACAATTATGTCTATTTCAGACGCACAAACTCACCAAAACCAACACTAAAAATGGAAACAGCTTCGTCGTCGTGTCCAGTGATTTTGCAATTACAATTAATTTTGAAACACGGATGATTTTTTTATACAGAATAATATCAGTCTGGTCCCTGCTCCCTTTGTCTCGTCTCGCGTCCAATCAGATTTGTTTATTTCTGTGACGCACGTGAAACAAAAAAGCTCATTGGTCATCCATCGTTTAAATATATGTAAAAAGTCAATAGAATCAATAGAATATTAAAAAAGAAAAGAAAAACAATTCAAATTTAGAATAGTCCAAACTTTAGTGCAATTTTTTTATTTTTTATTTTTATTTTTTTGTGGGTTTCTCCAGAAAAAAAATATCTAGGCAAGTTAAAACGACTTAAATTAAGATTATTTTACTTTATTTGAGTAGATTTAACTTAAGTAAAATTATTAATACAAGCAACATTCGACTTCTTATTTTAAGTGCAAAAATGTGTTGTTTTTCTTATTTTAAGTGCAGCAACATGCATTTTCATTTCATTTTTCAAGTACAAAAAGTCTTATTCCACTGGCAGATCATTTCATTTGTCAAGTGAAATTTCCTCAAATCATGATAAAACTTTCTTAATTCAAGTCAATTTAACTTGACTAGATTTTGTTTTTTGCAGTGTTGTTTTTCCGTTCGTATAATGTTTATTCTTGTTTATTATAATTCAATGAAGTTGAATAGAACTGTATCACTGTCAGCAAAACAAAAAGTAAAGCTGGAATAAATAAATAAATTCATAAATAAATTGGTGTGATGTTTTTCTTTTCTTTTTTCCTTCGTAAACCTCCACATTTGTTTTGACACGGACGGACCATGCGTGTCTCTGATTGGCTAATCCACCTGTCAATCATGACGTCCCCCAAAAAAACAGGGAGAAACAGGAACGTTTTCATAAAGCGCTGAAGAAATGTGTCTGATTCCGGAACCCGGGCAAGAATCATATGAAAAATAAATCAAAATAAAAAAGAGTTATGTTATTTTCTGTGTTATAATGTTGTTTCCTCATCACAAACAGACCTGGAGTTGTGTTTTGTTTCATTCACATGTTTAACACAAAAACCCGCATGTTTAGTTCATACTGAGTTCTTCTCAAACGGAAAAGACACTGTTCTACTTTGTGATGTCATGTGGTGATACAGGATGTGCTCCACTGTGTTTTTAAACTCCATACACTTTCACTAGAATCATTTGGCCCAGGGGAGCTGCCAGAGGCTCTCCAAACCCTTACAAGTAGCTCACCAAAGGATTTCTGAATCATATGTATTGTGCTGAATAACAAACACTGGATTTAATTAAATGCCTGTTATAATTATATTAACTCTAGAACACTGATGCCTCTAATAAATAAATAACTGTGCACTAATAAATGGATAATAATTGTGTAAATGTTTTATAAGCATCAAACTCTACCTCATTTAAAGGCTCTT